AAGCAGCTTATGGTAACACTGCAGAAAAAAAAAGCTTAAAAGCTCATTCGTCGTTAACTTTCCAATTTCAAGTGTATAAAACATTCCACCCTGATAACCGCATCGAAAGCATCCACCAGATAAAACGTCTAGACGGAATAAATATCGAAAACACTCGAATACCAGCACGATGGCTCACTTGGCTAATCGTTTGGGTTGCCGTTAAAAAAAATACAAGTCACATTTTTTTTTTCAAACACACCCGTAACCTACTGCCACTTTAAAAGGTTTACGGCGAATCTAATAGTTCATGTGCATTTAAAACTACCATGTTTTGAGATTACAGAGGCTTTGGGTGTGGTAGTTGTTTACATTTTAACTGCCTACTTATTGAGGAGAAAATTAAGCTATTTGCAATCTTATGGACCTTAAAAAAAGTGAAAAGAACCCTTGCAAGTTGAAAACGATGATGATAAACACAGTGATGTGAAGATAGTAAATGATATACATCTATCACCCACAGATAAAAACTGCACTTGTTTAATTTCGTCATCAATAAAAGTTTCACATCGCTACAACCCATCAATTTGTAGCAAGCAACATGTTTTGCAAAGTTAATAATTTATAGCAATGATAAATAGTATAAAATCAAACGTGTCGCACATAAACTGCGCCGGCGCAGGGGGCGCTTGACTAATGGACGAGCGGCGTGCGCGCAGCCGAATACGTGACAATACTGAATCTTGGACATTGCGACTTTTATTGAAACTCGTAATCCAGCTTATTATACTTGCGAATGTAGTGACTATGATTGTGTGTCTTTATTTATTGTAGAAAGACGGAATAGACATCGAAATCATATTTCATATGCATGCAAATGTCTAAAATGAAGGTGGAATTATCTACGACACTTCTGATGTAGGTTTTCTATCTAAGATCAATACTAACGAAAATGTCATATGCATTGACCGCATTCGTTTGGTCAGTGAGTAAGATATTGGGAATCGGAAATGTAAGTACATCATGGGAACCAAGATTACAAAGCTCGCGTTATTTATTCAGTGTACTTATAAGTTGGAAAGTTAACAAAAGTCGGGTGTGACACAACGGAAACGAGACACACCTAGAACGCTTAACATTTTTCGATTGTGACACAAAAATAAATCTGAAAAGCCGACATGTTAATGTATTAACATAGTAACTAACTTTAAAATTACTCCATGCATGCTATCAGACAAGTAGCTAATAAGTGTAAGGAACAACAATAATACATGACGATGATTTAGGGTCGGAAAACGTACTTTCCAACATGGCCGCCGTTTATGAACTTCGAGTCTTACATTAGTTACTATATTACTTCATTTATAACCCTACCTACCTCGCCACAAGGTGGAAAATCCAAGTTTCCATTTTTTTGCGCAAATAACTGTTAATTCCACGACACCGCCCTAAAGAGGGCACGATAATCATACTATTAGCAAACGTATAAATGTTTATACACACGGAACTTCACAGAGAATCAACCTTGTAATTTTTGTTATAGGGAAGGAATTATGTGGGAGGAGCGAGGGGGAACACTTTTTTGCTTTATTATGCCACTATTTATCCGCAACATTGCATTTACGATTTAGCAACTGTATAATATTTAATTGCGGTTCTTATTTATAAAGGTAATACATAAATAACATTATTTTCTAAATACACACGCAAACAACGTCCACTGTATAATTAAAGTTGCAAAATATTGTAAGTTGTCATTAGAATCACGTAGAGGTGCGATCTGTTCGTAATCGTTGCACAGTTTACCTTCAATTGAAGAATGAAGTTCGAATGAATGGGACGTATTTACCGAGGCCCTTGTCCAGTTAGAGTAAACCTCGAAGATTTCATTCAATCGTCAAATTCATCACTCTCTGTGTCAATACACGACAAGTTCCAAAATGAATTGATCAAATATAGGAAAGTGATAGAATTATAACAGCAAGCTGTGATATGAAGATTTGTTGATTGAATGGCTGATGGGTTTGGTGATCGCTAACGTGGCTGCTGAGCACAAGATTCTGAGTAGAATAATCCAGGTCGAGGTTAGTCCTGTCAACTAGATCAACCCGGTTGTGGCAATACAAATCACAAACAAGGCATGGCCACATCCGCGTTTGAACAAGACGAATCGTAATTTCGCGTTTATTATCAGAATCCTGGATTAACTAGAGCATTAGAAGTATTAAAACAATATCTGAATAGCGGCAGTATGGAATCGCACAAAGGCACCGTGACGCGTCACAAGTGGACCGATGTCGACGCAAACGCGCCGCAGTCGCGCGTGCAAATGTGCGATTATTGTGCGCTGCGACTATCGCAGCACGTTTGTTTCGGTCGGAACCCGGAAAGATTGGTAACTATAGTGCTATTTTGAGATTATTTTTAATTTTATTGGAAAACTACCGTGTACCAAATCAAAGTCTCATTTTCTTTGCTATCTAAATACATTTCTTAAAAGTACTTTATTTATAAAATTAAAATTAAAAGTACCCGTAACCGACGAGCATGTATGAAAAGACTGTTGATGAAGCGAAAGAGGTATGTAAGAATCGTAGCAATTGGCGTTCCATAGTCTCTGCCTACCCCCATGGGAGACAGGCGTGAAGTTATGTATGTATGTAGTATACAACATCTATCTCGCAACATTGTTACCTACCTAGCCCCATAAAAGCTCACAGTTTTATTAATCGTGATAATTTTACTTTGTAGTAAAACTTATAACATTCTAGTTCCATCACAAAGGGCGAATACATAAAGCGAATAAATACCAATAACAGGCCGTAAACGGAATTCCTGCGACCTGACATCCAATTGTAATGCATTAACACATCCACTATGTTGCTTTTAAGACCTGATATAGACCTATAGTCCTTTATTTTTCCCTATTGTATCGCAAATTGTAATATTTAGGACGAATTACCATGCTAAACTTTGAAGCACAAAGGACCATGTTTGACGCCGTATGGCCTGAAGGACCAAAACACAAAGCCGAAATTAAACAAGGAATTGCTGTTTTTGCATTGTCTTTTTGTGTCTCGTTCACGAAATTGCTTCGTCCTTGAAATATGCGGTTAATTAATGGTAATTTAGACTATATAAGTCGGGTGCGTAATTCGTAATTTATCATAAATTTTTGTTTTAGCCAAATAAAAGTGCAATGAAATCTAAATAAGAATGTCAATCATGTCTAGAAAAAAACGCCTACATACCAAGCATTAACAATAATATTGATATACCCTAAAAAATATTTTATAAATTGGTTTAAAAAGGACCACAGGACCCTATTGTTAAAATGGTCCTTTTACACTATTTCACGTTTAGATCTGTAGACGATGCAACTCACATTGATATTGACAACTCCTAAAGGCAGATACATCAATAACCTCAAGGGCCTTTTTATATCCAAAAGGTAATTCGATAAATACAATAACTTTTTGAACCGCATATTCTTAAGGTTTATAATTGATCCCTCGGTTGGTAGGTATCAATTTTGGTCTTTGTAAACCTTGTTAACGCGAGGGCGCGAGGCACGCGAGCAAACCGAGATAAAAGAGAATATCTACCTCGTTAATTTACCAGAAGATGCCATATGTATTAAGGTGCTATGTAAGGTGAACGTGGATAATTCTGATGAGCGAGGAATTCTGAATTTCAATTCAATTACAATCACTTTGACTAGTCCACAATATTAGTTACTGTTGTGGGCGCCAGTAGAAATTAATTTATGAGAGTAGGTTTCAGAATACTACAAGCCGTTACTTTCCACATTTCTTTAACACCGTAAAAACTACTCAAAGACCTAACAAGCCTAAAAAAAAAACATTTCACACGCTAAAAAACAAGTGACAAATACAGAGTGATAGCCTAAACTAGTGATAATTCATAAACTCAAAGTCAAAGTATAAAGTTGTATCAATGGAATGATTCTATACATATTATATCATTCGATCCTGACACGTCGCATTGCATCAAGTTTAATAACTTTAAGTTATTTTTGAAACAATTTATATAATAGTCAGAAAAATTTGAATACCACCTCTCCTTGTAAGTCAATCCTTATTCAGTAATTCAGTATTGCGGCACACAAGCGTGCCTTCAGTTAATTAGAGAACAAAAGAGGCGTGATCACCGACAACTACAATTTTATACCTTTCTTCCCTTTGATAGAATACTTAACAGCTTGTTCAGTCGAGTCGTGAGGTGAAAATAAAAAACTTATCATTATTCATTGTATCAGGAACAAAACTACAAAACTTGTTAACTTTCCGCTAAACGGAGAAAAAGGAACATATATTTAAAAGAACGAAACGGTTTGCCCTTACAATTTTTGAACAATAATTTTTAGTATTGAACTCGAAACATGAACTGCCAATTCGAACGAACGTTTTAAAAAAAAATTCAATTCGTTTGACACTTCCATATTCAAACGTCCGAGTAACCAAGCCCACCTCATAACAGTTTGTGAACTGTTAATAATAAATACATCAGCACGGAACCCTCACAACCGCAATAATGTCATAAAGAACATTGACAATCTGTCCTCAACCCTCACAACGCGACAGCGGATTATTATTCATCCGGGGGCACAAATGACCCCTCATATGTTTTGACAACCCTTCGCAAAACCAATGAAATATGAAACAAAGGAACGGGTTGTACCAGCCATTATATAGCGATTTAGGAATTCATTTTATTGGACACAAACATAGACACGTAATGTGTGGCTAATGAATAATTCAGTAGGGTTGTGTGAGGGTCGCCGCGATTTTATTTGATTGCTCTATGCTAGGTAAACGTATTTATGGATCTATTATGCAACAGTTCGAGCTATTACGAAGTTACCTTACTTTGACTATTAAAGTTGTTATTGATCTTATGTTTGATTAAAAATTGTGTTGTTTGTTAGTTTAAATTAATTTATGTATGTTTCATTATATGTAACTAGAGAAAAATATATCAGAAATATACCACGATCTTACCTGACGGACCTGCTTATACTGTTCCTCGAAGCTCCAGCCAGCGGCGCTGCCTTCTGATGAAGAGGAGGAGGCTGAGCCTGCGGGTTGAGCCGGCGGTGGTGGAGCAGGTGCCAGGAATGCTGGTGGTGCATATGGGAAACCCCCTGTGGCCCCTGCACCGGCCAATGCAAACACACTGCCAGGGTTGGACAAAGGAGCCCCCTGGGCTAATGACGCCAGTGAAGATAAGTGGGGATGTAAAGACGATTTCAGAGACTCGAAATCGTCGCGTACCTGGTGGAAGTAACAGTTACTTTAATATTGCTGAAGGTAACAGACGAAGAGAAACAAATCTTGATTGGAGTATTAATAATTGCGACAAATGTACTGTGTCTGAATATCTGAATATTTATGTATCCAAATCATCCAACGCTAACTAGGTTTAAAAGGACGTCTGCATAATTTGGATGCTCATAACATGATTAATTGATACTGTCCACTTACTTTGAGTTCCCTCTCAAGAGGTCTGGGCGAGTTTCTCTGATGCTGGTGAGACATTTGATGGCTGTTCAGCGGTTGATGCTGGATCGAGCCATGGTGACTTATGTTGTGTGAGGGTTGATGTGTCATGCTCTGATGCTGTAATGACTGGTGTGACTGCAGCCCCTGGTGAGGCTGCATTGGTTGATGGGGCTGGTGAGGGAGGGAGCCTGGTGCATCCCTACCAACGCCCTCGTCTGAACTCTCGCAAGATTGCTCCCCTGAGGACTCTCCTTCAGATCGGGCGGACTGTAACAAAGAAAAGTAATTATTTATTTAGAAAATTTACATACTACAGCTTACGCCATTAAGTTATACTGTTAATCTTATTATATTAGATGCATTGATTTAAAGCAATTTGCTAATTCCTTTTTTTTTTGTTTTAATAGTACCTACTTTAGCACTTAATCTTCAGCAGATTTAGCTGAATGTGTGAATTTTATATGGCGCAACTACCTAGTTGTAGTTGCTTGTAGGTACAAGCCGTTGTTTAGACGCATTATGAAAATTTTTGAACTATGTACTAGTCATAACGAATCCGATGGTGGATTGTAAACATATATTTATGCATGATATAAGTATAATGCTTTAGTACTTAATAAATATTCAAAGGCCAGTTATGAAACCTGAACTGATTATTGTTGAAACATTCACGACTTCAAAGACTACTAATAAAACCAGGAACATATTTAAGGATGTAACAAACCATAATAATATTAGATCAAACAATTATAATACAATAAAACAACCGAATCTAATTCTATTATACAAACAAATATAACATTGAAACATTATTAAATTATAATAATCGTTAACCCTGATCTGCGAGTGGGACAAATTGTACCCAAGTCTATAACTGTACGTCATAGCGTAAGTACGGTGAATAAAGTTTCTGAGATAAATCATAGTTTCCCAACATAACGTTAACATAATTACAGAGCTTACATCTAGGTTTCATATGTAACTTATTTTTAAATTATAAGCGAGTGGCAGGTGCAGATCGAGGCTGGTCATTTAGACCGCAATTACCTATAAATGTCGTAAGGCGTCAAACTTACCGTAAACGTTGAAAAATACTAAGATGACATGTTAAGAATACTCTTTATAAAGAACGAGATATTGTTAAAATAACGTGCTATAAATAAATGTATCGATAATTGACACAAATTGTACGAGAGTACAAAACTGGTTATTACAGACTCGTAGTTCACGCAATCGCTGAAAACATAGTCCTGTTTGATTAATTGTCCTCTTCTAATTAAAAATATAAATAGCAAACGTTAGATGAACGTAGCCTAACATCGCACGTAGCGGAAAAGCGAGAGCTGTTTATTTATATCAGGATTTTTCCAGCAACATGATTCCTAGACCCCCGTCGGCGAACTCAGGGTTAACAACCAATAAAGCAATAACATTGTAATATGTATAATTAGTACAAACTATTATTCACCTTCGATTCGCATTTAATCTACATTTGTTTACTTTCTGATGCATACATTTAATAAACACAATTTGCCGTGAGCTTCCGTTCCCGGATTGCCGGGGGAGTTAAATTTATTCAATTATTTAAACATATTCTTTGTTTATAACGATATCGGCGGAGTAACATGTGGTGGCCGCAATAAGTCGCCTAGGGCCCATAACATTTGCTGAAAACCAGCTTTTTAGTCAAGTTTCTGAATTATTGCAATTACAGAGGCATGTTTCAACATCAAATTCAAATATACACCATTGTATGTGAACAGAAAAGGTGTTAAACGAAGCAAAATAGACGTTTAACTTCCTAGAAAGCAACTAGCTGGTAACAGAGCTAATACAATCTTGTACCGTTCTATCATTACATGTATTACAGCAATTGAGTGAATTTAATCGGATTCACGGAAATCCACGAGCGCTACCTCGGTACATAGGAATTAATGGCGGGTCTCCGCGCGTAATGCATCATTCCATTGCGAGGAACACGTACCGAGTCGCGACTATGCGAAACCAGTCCCAGTATTAATGCAGTTAAAGTTCCATCGGAATCAATATAAGGCAAGCGTTGCGACCCGCCGCGGCAATCAAATCGTTGTTCAAAATGAGCGCGTTTTGCGCCAACACAGCCCCCGGCCCACAATTACGACATTAAAATTATTATTTTATTTCCATTTTTATTTATTATTCGCATTATTATATTGTGTGGAGTTATTATCGGTGAAATGTTTCGTTCGGATAAACGCTCGCCTTCGAACGACACGCAAGCTTCCTTCAACGACCCACTGCAGGGTTCCGCGTGTTATATCAATTAATGTACAGCAGTTTATCGTGCTTCGTATTACTGGTCGGCTTTCTACCAAATTGGTTCATGTTCCGCGTTCAAGAGGTATCCTGAAAGCGGTCAGGGATTCGTAATTCCTCACGTTCACCCTTTGTGTCTACACTTTCTACAACCAAGTATCTGAAGCATGTCGTCAATTAGGACAACCAGTCACAATTTTTTTTAATATAATAAATTGTTGAAGCCATTAACGTAATGAAATATTTCGGTACAATTTTCCTTGGAACCTATACTTTCAAGCATCACTTTATCTCAATTCCCGAGCAGTATAATCTGGCGGTGGAAGGTCTACTCCGTTTACGGAACCCTATAATCACATCAATCGCGCTCCCGTATACACACCCTGTCATTTCATTCGACTTTTCTTTCTCATGGGTCCAGACTGCTACTGGATTCCTTCCACCTTTTATTACTTTTTAAGGTGACCGCAATTTTATTTAAACGTTATATCAATAAAATGAGCCACTTAAGGCGTTTATTTTAAGTTCGTCTACCTTAAAAGCTGCGGATTCACCAAATTCAGTGAACTAAGCAAACACACGGTATACAACATGTTGATGTTATTATCATGTGACGAACTGTAAAAATCAACAGTTGCACGTACTGATAAGTAGGATAACGTTAGCACAACCCGCGCTAACACCAGAACAAATAGAATCGGAGCGACTTAGCTGCTGTGTTCGATCCCTCGCGTGATTTTATAATATAATATTAACTGTAACTTGTTTAGTGCCGATGAAAAGGTTCGATGTATTAGACGTGTCAATAATGCCGACCGGAATTTTACTACACGTTAGCACGTCGCCGAGGAAATGAAGAACTAGCTGTCCTGCACCGACCGGAGTGAACACTTGACACAATATTGCACCCAATTTGTAACATGTAAACAAAACACACTGATACGTTTTAGATCGTGACCTCAACAAAGAAACGGAAAGTGAAAGAATTCATCCATTGGAACCATTAAACAACCCACTTGCTTATTATTTGAACAAACAGGGAATGGACTCGGTGCCGTTCTTAGAAGTATCCCGGAGTAATACCGAGATATAAGCAGAAGGACACACCGTTGATTAGCGTCTTTTACTTCAGACACAACGCCACCAAAAAGTTGCCTTAAACAGTCGGGAATTAAGCTCAATTCTAAATAGAGCATGATTTACAGCTACCGATATCAATGAAGATAACAATACACGATGAGATTTAGACGAAAATATGCTTTAACTCTTTGACACAGGTGCTTGCAGCCTGTACTATCAATCATAGTAGAAACACTACGCTTAAGATTGGACTGTCACCCGTTGAAATATGGTTGAATATTCCTGCTAGTAAACTTTCCGATATTTTATACAATGTAATATTTGTGATAGAAATCATAATCGTGTCTATGCGAGTACATTTTATGAGGCGAAATCAAATAGAAACTTGTAATGAAAGATGTCATGTGCGTTCAACATGTTTGGTCGGTATGCAAGACAAATACGTGTGGTAATAAAATATTGAACATTTAGTTGTTAATGTCGACAGAGATATCGTCGCCGTGCGAGGTGAAACCGTTGATGACTGTGTGAATTAATTGAACACACGACAATTAACCAATTGGGTACATGGGCTTGAGAAAACAAGGTAAATCAATCTTATCAACTTGATAAATGACAAAACCGTCAACACAAATTAAATTTTAATAACATAGCACGTAACTCAATCTGCAAAATTGATTGCAAGCAAATATAGATTCAAGCAAAAACTTGAGAAGCATGTTTATTTGTTTCAGAAGCGTAACAGCATTCCATAAAGGACAAAGAAGTTCATTAGGTTCCCGGCGGAGCGCGGCGTGATGGAAATGTTCGCGCATCCACACTCCCTGGAATATTTATTAGCAGGATCCGTCACGACGAGCTTTGTCCACACATTAGCAGTGTTAGCGCCCAGGATGGCTACCTGCGTGTTTACCTAGACTGTATAGCCCCTCCATATTTGCCTAGATATCCACACATATCTGGTGTTTCGCAGAGGTCGTTGCAACATTCATTTGAGCAATGTATTGTTGACGTCGAAGGGAAATCTGCCTTCGTGTTTGCGTAATATACGATTGAATGCTGATTGTACAAGATGCTTCATACAAATAACTTGTAAATGCAGCCATTCTGTGCCAACTGAAGACTTTCCGCGTCGTCTTATGGAGGTCCGAGGCCTCGACGATGTCGTCGATGCAAATACTAAATATGATTTGAAGAATGTAGCAATGTATTGAGTTAGAAGTAAAAATGTTGTATTGAAGAAGTGTAGGGAAATGTGCGCTGGTGTGACAATGTTGTCACATTAACAGTCACACTCACATTAACATTAGCAGACATAAAATAACCGCCAATAAGCCAAAGCACGCATCAAAACGTCGACAAAGCAACAGGTTCTTGGCTCGACAAACACTCACTGTTTACATTACGATCCTGGGGCTTCATTTAATAATTCTCGGGAACTAAAAGCCTTTGAACATTTCATCAGATGACCCTCGCTGTTTGCACACACTCCTGGCTCGAGATGCTAATGTGGACACAAGGACCTGTATCGCCGATCGGCCTCCGATGCGTTTATTGTTAGCCCTTCCAATAGCTTTGGCTTCTTCTATTTCACTGCAATGCTCGATATCCTCGATATCTTGTGCAAACATGCCTCGGAATCTTTGGAGTTTGTTCTTTGAGCTTTTTTGTTGAAATTGAAAACGATGATTGTTTTATTCTGGTTCTAAAATGGTAGTGTCGTCAACTCAAAATTATGTACTTACATAGAGGTAGGTACCATTTCACAAGTAATCATGCATTATTATGAGGTTGCATAAAACAGCGCGAACGTACAAATACGCACATTAGAAACAATGCCGCATGGTGCAGGCGTGCAGTAGCGTATCAGGAAGCTACCAGTGTCACACAAA